CTAACTGGAGGGCAAAATACCATCCAATATGTTTTATCACGCTTTGGAGCTCTCGAAAGAAAAAGTGCAACAAACTCGAGTCTCCCGCCATGTTCATTGGGATGGAAAACGGCTATTCATTTCTTTTATCAATTCTTTATACACAGAAGAAAAAAGATAACAATAATAAATGTTAAGAAAAAAGCTGCCCATGAATATTATTTTCCTTCATTGTGTTTTTCGCTTCTTAGATAAAGACAAAAGACACACTAAGTATAAGTCTGTTTCCGGACGTAGATACCTCAGAGATAATACATTCAAACTTCGATTCGAATTCGAGTGTGGTATATATACACAGAAGACGACAAGAGTTTTGATACCACTGAAGAGAAAGGGTTGCAAAACCCGCCGTACGAAAACGTCATTACTTTTCGTTTTATTCTGCACACATCCGCGCTTCTGTTATGCTTCAATCCTTAGAGAGATATTAGATTGTTGTATTATGAGATATACAATCTTTATAGATTTAAATGAAAAATCATATTTTATAAAAATATTATACTCATAATTATGTTTCAGTTATAATAATTATTACTGATTATATGTGCGCGTATATTTTAAGCTATTGAATGGCCGTGAATCAAGGCCATTAAAAAAAAGCTTTCCTTTTTTAAATTCATTATATTTTTTATGGCGTTTGTGAACTCTGCCCCTCCTCTCTGTATCTTGCTATAAAAAAAAAGCTTTTTTTTTATGTTTTTACCTAAAGCTTGTTTTAAAGATTATTAAGTTTTCCTATTGTTTGAAAATGAAAAAGTAAATTTTTTTCTCTGGGTTTACGATAAAACTTTATTATTAAATTAGTTTCTTCAAATTGTTTTATATTTTTACGTTTAACTCATAATTACAGTTAACATTTAATAATTAATATGAAAATGTTAACTTTATTAATTCATATATACTCATATGAATGTATATATAATGTACTAATATTATTAATATTAATTAATGAGTATATGTATACTATATATGTACTAATATGAATATAATGTACTCATATTAACTCGTTACTTACTGTTACACAGTGATTTTATGATGCAACGCTTACTCACTTTAATTACTATGGTTCCGTAAACTATTATAATTCATATTTATTATTAGATTACTGCTAAAAGTTTTTTAAAACTGTCAGATAAGTACCACGGTTTACGTTGAATAAAAATGTCATGCGTTTCAGGATCTAAATACGCAATGCGAAATGTAAATTATAGGATGCAGAAGACAAAATGGTGAAAAGAAATGCTGTAATTTAAGATTGCAAATACGACTTCCTTTTCAAAGGAATTGACAAATTTATGGTTGTGTTCCTTTTTCCCTAGTGATTCATCGCAATGACAAACGTCACTCCCATCAAAATCAAATTAAAATGACATTTGTTAGTGGTGTATATTTTTTCAAGTGGAAAAAAAAGCATCTTTGAAGTATCACGGTCAAAAAAAAGTCTCTGATTATTCTAAACTTTTCTTTTTTTTATGTGTGACTAATTTTATTATTATTACTACTGATTTAAATTTCAAAGTTGGTTTCTTAATACTGTCGAAAAAACTTGCTTTTTTCTTTCTAACTTTATTTAGATTATTAGTACTACTTGATTTTCACGGCGACTGTTGTTAAAACGACGCCAAATTAGAATTATTCGCATTTAGTTAGTGGCTGCTTCCATATCTCTGCGATTTTTTTCAATATTAAATCTTAAGTTTTGTCTTTCCCATCTAATTTTCACCACATGAATTCCGCGAGAAAGGCTCTCTAGAAGATGACGAGCTGTACCTCTCTTAAAATAATAAAAGCTCTTTTTTTGTTGACAACTTTTCACATTGCAAACTTTTCATTCCGCAAAACTTTCTTTTACATCGAGTTTCATTTCGTCTCCATTTACGCATACTCGATAGCGAGGTAGTACCTCTTTTTCCTGGATAAACGAAACGGCATCTGCCTCATTCCTCGGTAAATTAATAGTCCTCAACATTTTCTTTTTTTCAATGTTTAAATTAGAAAATAAATAAATATATTATATCACCCGGTATGAATGCAAAGCTCAAATAAAACCGAAAGTGGTTATGATTAGTTTGGTTGCTTTAGGTTGTTTTTTTTTTTTTACTTGATTTGGCGGTTTATCGCTGTCGCCGTGAAAATCAAGTAGTACCGGTTAATGCTGTTTTTAGAAGCTCTGTCGCCAATAAAAATAAAATAACCTTAGTTTAAGTGACTTGCACTTGAAGCAATGAGATGTTTTTTAACTATATATATAATCTTGCTGTGAATTATCAGCGCTTTAGAATAGACAAATAACTATAATTTTTTTAAAGTTGTTAAATTTTTTTTTAAATCGCCAATTTGGCGAAATTTTTCTACCTAGATGAAAATTTTCAAACTCCCTGCCTTATACTCTGTTTTTGCAAATTTTTTGAAGCCCAGGTAATGCAGCATTGGGGTGAATTAAAAAATAAACAAATGCTTTTCATTTTCACAAAACTGTAGCTTTTCTCCATATTGACATTTTGCGCCGTTTTCAAAATAAGTGTAGACAGCGCTGGCTATAGATAAACTTGACCTAACAGTCATGAGTGATTGTCGCAAACTCACAACAGTTATAAAAATAACATGTTATTCGTAAAAAAGCATCATTTCATGTTACGACGGAGCCTTTGAAAAAAACAGTGGTTCCCAATTTTTTTCGGCTACAGACTAAAGAAGCTTGACTAAATAGAAGCTTGACTAAATAATCAAGCTTCTTCGGGCAGAATCCCGCTTTTATAATTAAAGTAAAGAAAGACGATTGTCCACGTATTAACAATTAAAAAATACTTTATCTTGTTCTTTGGACTTTTTTTATATTTAATAAGCTGAATGAATTTTTGTCTTTAGTAATCTTAAATTAGATTTTATATTCGAGAGTTGAATTCACACAGTCTTTGAGATGAATCTTTTTTTTCGTGCTACTATAGAATAGATAAAAAAAAAAAAAAACTGCTATAAATGTTAAAAATGGTTATTAGGAAAACATTTTTTTTTTTTTAAAAAATTCAGTTATTTTATTTTGATTAGAAAAGCGCAATGTGAAATACAATTGCATTTTTTTATAAATGCATATCCTTTTCATAATTGTTGTTAGAAAAATTATTATTTTGTTAAAATTTCGGCTTTTACTTTAAATATAATTTCAGGCTCTTAGGCATTTTACTTTAAATATAATTTCATGAAGGTTATCCAAATAACAAATAAATAATGGGTTATTGAGTGGATCTACGAATAACAATAGATTTCAAAAATGTTGGAAAAAAAAGCTTTAAAAAAATCTTAACTCTCGGAACATCTTTAACTCTTCCACGGAACCCTACACTGTAAAAAATATTCCGTAAAATTTACGGTTTTAAACCGGCAGCTGGGTTGGTTGTGGAAAACCGTAAAATTCACAAAGTAAATCCGTAACTTCAACGGCTTTTTACCACATGAGTACAAGTTTTTTTCCGTAAAATCCACAGAGTAAATCCGTAACTTCAACGGTTTTTTACCATATACGTACAAGTTTTTTCCGTAAAATCCACAGAGAAAATCCGCAACTTCAACGGCTTTTTACCATATGTGTAAAAGTTTTTTTCCGTAAAATTCACAGAGTGATTCCGCAAGTTTAACGGCTTTTTACCAAATGCTTACAAGTCTTTCCCGTAAAATTCACAAAGTAAATCCGTAACTTCAACGGCTTTTTACCATATGCATACAAGTTATTTCCCCGTAAAAGTTACAAAGTAATTCTGTAGTCACAATAGTATTTACCCAAACAAAAACAATTATTTGACGTAAAAGTTATGAAAGAAATTTGCATTTTCAACAGCTTCTGGCCATAACAGTACAAAAAATCTCTAAAAAAATATATGTAGTTAAATTGGAAAAATTTTTTTTAAAAATGTACACAAGTTTTATCTGTATGTTTTAACAATTTATATAAATGCATTTAATCAGTGAAGCAAATCACTCGAACCATTCTTTTTAACAATATGAAAACAAGTTTATTATGTATTTCTTATAGTTTTAAACTATTTGCATAAAAATATTTAGTCAGTGAAGCAAAAATATTTTCCATAGTATAAATTTAATCAAGTTTTTATTTTTAAACTATTTGGAAATATTGAAGTTATAACCTGTTTTTTTAAAAACAACAAAATACCATATATTTGCAAAGAACAAGTTTATTATGTTATGTTTAAATTGTTTACAAAATTATATGAAATAATTGAAGTTACCAGGTAAAAAAAAAATTTAAAAAAAAAAAAAGATACATATACATCTATAATACACATAATGCAAGGAAACTGAATAATGAAATACAATTGATAAAATAAAATACAACTTTTTAAGAAAATCGTAAATTTTTAATAAATGTCAATAAAATAGTTTAAAAGTTATACGTGTAATGCTCACTCTTAAATTTAATTCAATAACAGTTATATTTTTTTAAAATTTGATAATAAAAATACAATAAAATGAAAAATACATGTTAAAATAAAAATACAAATAAATACAGTATGAAATTGCAATTACAGGGCTCAACGCAGGTCATTGTGGAAAAAGTAATGAAGTGACTAAAATTTTTTAAAAAGTGATAAATAGCGACTTCAAAACAGTGTTAATATTCAGGCAACATCCCAATAAAGTTAAAAATACGCATAACTGAAAAAACATGAAATAACTATTATTGCAAAGAAAAAGTACTTTTACAATAGACAGGGTATCTGCTACATTTTAGATTTTCAAATTCATGATTTTCCATGACTAATTCCAAGAATTTTTCATGACTTAATGAAGTTACTATTTTCTCCGACAAAAACGCAACAATTAAGCATTATAATAACATTATTCAAAATTATAGGTATAAACAAAACTGTTATACTCTGCATCTTCATATTTAGAGATTTTAAATTTAAAAAACAGAGTAAAGAAAGAGTTGAAACAATAAAATAGCTGAAAAAAATACAAAAGCGAAAAAAAAATTTTTCTGCAGAATTATAATCTAAAGATACTTTTCTTGTTCATCAGAAAGGAAAGAAATATTCCTGACTTTTCTGTTCTCATTTTGGAATTAAAGAAAATCGCCAATGACTGCTTTGCTTTAACTAGAATTTTAAATTGATAAAATTAAAAAAAATATTAATAAAAATTCTTAAATCACAGAAGAGAGAGTTTAAAAGATAATTCGCTCTAGAAATGATGTTTTTTCTTTCATTTTTTGAAAGAACACCATAATTTTTAAAGAACATGATAAAATAATTTTATATTCTATAAAATATGACTGAGTGTTGATTTTGTTAGAAATTCTGATACTAGGAATAGGATGAAAATGGGGGGGTGATTGCATTTAAAAAATTAGATTCTTCGGAGACCTAAATCCATGACTTTCCATGATTTTTTTTCAAAAATAGTAAAAATCATGAAATTTCATGACAAATTTTTTTCAATACTGAAATTCATGACTTTCTATGATTTTTCATGACTTTCCAGGTGCGCGTATACCCTGAATAGAAATCGGGATACAATAGTAATGGGACAATAGAAATGGGAATTTCTTTTACAATAGAAATGGGAATCAGCACCATTCAAAGTCCATCAACTTATTCAACAAGGATAGAACCTTTGGATTGACAGCATTCTTTTTTTTCTTGTTTTTTGAGGCCTTTGACCCTTTATCTGGGTTTATCTTTAGGAAACACCTGCAAAATACACATTAAATGAATATTCATTTTGTTAATTAAGTTCAACAAGAACTTTTAAAAATTATTAACAAAAAGTCAGTATGCTTTTTGGAATTTTTTATTTTTATTTCTACAAAATTTAGCATTTTTAGTCCTAATACCAGACAAACAAAAATAATTTTTATTTTAATTTCCTTCAGTATGTAATGTTTTATCCACTACTATTATGCTTTCAATAAACAAAAAGTTACTCAAAGTAAATAAAATAATAGTTGAAAAGTTTTACGTTGATGAAAATATACCCATGTATTTCTACGAATAACACTTTCCTCTATAAAAGCAGAAAAATTAATATATTTTATTTTTTACCTCTGAATAAACTCCAGGGTTCCACAAGCCATCTCAGCATACTCGATGTTCAAAATATAGTATGCGGCAAACACCATTAAAAGGCCAGTGCTGCCACTTTTAATTTCCTCATTTATGACTTTATTGTCAATTGCAACCATGTACGACTTGGCAAAAAAGTCATCACCTGAAAGTTGAGCAGATATTAATAATGAAATTATATTGACAAAAATGTTTATTTTAAAGCTAAAAATGAAATATATGTATAGAGAGAAAATAATCATTGTATGATAAACTCATATCATTGTATGATGATACATAGTTCACTTATTTATTTCTGAGTGACGGTGAAAAGATTACATTTATACAAAGCATTCGGCTTCAAATTTGAGTCAGTTAGACCAATTGCTTAACCTAAATTAAAAAAAAAAAAATTAATGCAGTGACCTCTATAACTACGCAAGTGCAACTTTTACTATCATTAAAATCTGTTTTATAGTTATACTTAGTTTAATTACAAATGTCATCAAGTTTTATTTTAAACTGTTACAACTAAATTATTTGCAATAAAACAATGCTGGCATTATATTTCTGGGACAACTAATGAGCCTTGAACATAGAGGCAATATATAACTTTCCTTTTTTTAATAAGAAATACATTCACTTTAAGTAGAAGTAAGCAGAATAAGCCCGAAAATTTCGATAATCCTGATGCTTTGATGTTAGAGGGCTTTTCTGCATTATTTAAAAGTCATATGTAACATAGACTTTATTTGTACTCATTCTGATAATGCTCTATAGCTATATTAATGTGCTGTCAACTATTGAAACTTCATAGGTGCTATTACATGGTACCCTAATATATCTTAATAGTTTGAAGCTGGTCAAATTAATCATTGTTTAAAAAATTAAGCAGTTCAATAAAACTAAGAGCCTCCAATGATGAAATTTAACCAACATACATTCTTGCCAAACTACATAAATTTTGCCTTCATTAAGAAACAGCCATGCAGTTATGAATTTTATGAAGCTCTATCATTTTAAAACAGAAAATGCAGATCAGATAATTTTAACTGATTTACATAATTATTTCATCACAATTAACACACTTATCAACAAGCATGTTATAATATTTGAGATATAATTAAAAGTTTAGTTTCATTTCGAATTAGATTGTTAAAATTTTAAATTATTAACTTAATTTTTTAAAACTTATTTCAGTGTTATTTTTTTAAAAATTAGACATACTACAGGTAAAAATTTTATTATACTTACCAGAAGAAATCAAACATGGAGTACTCGGCAATATGCCCAGATTTTCGACATTTTTGGCAGATAAGGAGCTCTGAAAATAACAAATGGCTATATTTTAATTTAAGAATTTTGAATACAGTAAGAATTTAATGTGCATTCAAATTTTCATTTTTTTATACAAAAAATACAATAATTTTTTATAATGTATTCTTGCTTTGTACCATGAAAAATGGAGAATTCTAAGAACTCAGACTTAAAAGTAATAATTAAAAGATTACTTTAACAAAATACGTCATTATCTTGCAACGAAGTTAAATTGAATTAAACGTAGAATGTTTTTAATTTCGGTTACGTTTCTTAAATTTTATTTATTTACTAGTTTATAAATTGGATACTTAACCTACAATCAATGTTAAAATAATCAAATTTAAAGATATAAAAAAGCTAAAAGTGTAATTTCTGGAAGTCACATGTAGATGAAGTCTAATGCTATTTTTTAAATAAAGTAGCTCTTTTAAAACCACTAGCAGGATCTTTATGGGAAAGTGATGATCAGTGTAAATACTACTTAGAAACTTTATACTACCTCTAATCATTTACTTCTGCGAACAATTTATGATGGCAACAATTTGACAAACAATTACTCTATTACAGCTACTGTACCTTACTTTTACGCGAGAAACTGATTAGAATAGGTGATCCTTATTGGATGAATTACACAAATGGTGTCAAATTTGAAAATCCAGCTTGTTTCAATTTGTTCCAATTATTCAGAAAGAACATGAGTTATCTGAGTATCTTTGAAGACGCATTATATGAGTTCTTTGACGGAGAGGTGGAAGCCATTAGCTAAAGCAGTTATTGGTTTTTCCAGTGAATTTTCAAAAGTGGTTCTATTCTCAAGCAGCAATCCTGGTCATTCAAATAGTGCTCTAAAATCAAATGAAATCCATCAATGTCGAGATTACCTGCAAAGGTTGGCTCTCAAAAAGAAGCAGATTGCACTCCAGTGGATATCTGGCCACTGTAGAATTTATGAGAACGAACAGGCTGATTTCCTTGGGAGGAAGAGCTCAAGATACTTAATCAAGATTTTAAAAAATATTTTTCCATTTTCTTAAGCTTCATATTAAACAAATTATGACACAAAAATTTGAAGTACAGTTACTCGACTGTCTGCAGTCAAAGCAGTGGAGAATTGAGGATTTTTTGTCCATTCCCAACTCTCCATGTCAAAAGCTGTTACTAAATTCAGCCTTATGTCAATAATGACTGTCTAGAAGAAGATCTCTATTGTATTGTAATTTTTCATCACCCAAACACCACTAAAGTCAATGAATCGAGCTCACCTCGCTAGTTGCTCATCACTTCCTAGCGCTGTGAAGTGACATTATTGGAGAAAGAGAACTTTGTAGTGGCAATGATTTCGGTCATTTTTTGGGCTCTAAAATGTATTATTTTTTTTTTTGCATTGTCTTTGGAAATAAAAAAAAAAGGTAAGTCAATAACTGTAAATATTTTATCTTATTGTGGTTGACTACAGGAAGATGTCTGAAATTAAGAGAACATGCCTAAGATATATAAAAAAAGGTTTTTATAGAAAAATATATGATAAATACTTACGTCAACTGAGATAAAAATTGCTTCTTTTTTTTCATTGAAATACTCAAGAATCAGACATATGGCAGAGCACAGTTCATCAGCAGTTTCATCGTTCTCAAACTTATCCAATATATCTTGGATTGCGATTTTCTTTTTTGACAAAGACTTAAAAAAATTTATAATGCGAGGAATTTTACTTTCCGAAGCCTTTTTCAAGAGCTCCGGAATGTTCACCCCAGTCAACAATTTAAAATGCTGGAAGAAGCCTTTCTCCGTAAAAAGAAGAGGCCAGGAACCTATCAAGTCTGTAATAGTTTTTAGACTGTTAATATCTTTCCTTTGGCTATAAAAAGTGGCCTCTAATAAGGCAAGGCTTCTCTCATTGGCATCCTCAGAGGGTTTCATCGTCGACGATATCGCCAACATCTCCTTCTGCTTCTCCTTCTGGGTTTCAGGACTTTCCCCAATCGGCAGAACATTTGGCTGCCAATTCAAGCAGCCATAATTGGCTGAAGCACTGAGTTCAACACTTGTGCTAGGGTTTTCTTTCCTCTCTCGTTTCAAGTTTCGTTTTTGTAAACTGAAACTGTCTCTTCTATTGAGATTCTCAAACTTAATAACTAGTGTTCTAGTAAGAGACTCACACCCCCCAGCCACAACTTCATCACACCAAATGTCTGAAAATGACTTTGGATAAGCCTCTATGGCTTTGCGAGCAATTTTGCTCAAATTTTTTTTGCCTGGTTTAGCACAAATTTTGAAGATGCTCTGTGCAATTTTGTTTACAAATTCTTTCCGGTTGGCAGGAGATGGCCGTCTGCCTTCCTTTAAATCTTTTGTCAACTCCACAGACATTTTCTGCCACGGAATAGAATACTCTTCAGCCCAATCTAGAGCACTATTCTTTGGAGTCGTTGACGTGGCTGATGTTGAAGTAGCTTCTGTTGTTGTGTCGGAAATAGTGTTGACCTTCTCAGGCGACACTTTTGAAATAGGCACTGGTGGCAACACATCTATAAAAAAATTTATTTTATAATTTTGGTAATAAAAATTTAAAATGCAATTTTTGTAATGCTAGAAATACTTTTTGTTTAATGAATTTTAAATTTTAGCTAAACACATTCCTACAGAATTATTTAATGCCAAAGTTGTGTTTTGTTTAGCAAATTAAAAAAATTTATGTGATCGAGAGTTCAAGCAAAAGAAAAACAATTTGTTTCTTAGGAGAGAGGCTTGTTTCTAGGTTCTCTTTGAGAAAATTCCAATTAAGGTTAAAGATAATTGAAAATCACGAGCATTTCTTTTCTCCCAGGTAAGAGAAAAGATTATCTTTAAAAAAATAATAATAGTAAATGCTGTCAAAAAGTTTTACAGAGAGCAACTTTTGTTTTGTCAAGAATGAAACTTTATTGCTTGATAACACGATAGATTACAACAAAAAAAATTTTGATGGTTTGTGTCAACAAAGCTGATTAAATGATAGATAGATGCATACCATCAAACTATTTTTGCAGAAAATATGTTTTTTTTCCCATGACTTAACATATTGTTTACTAAAATGTACTCATCCTACTTCTCTTCTATCACGAATACTATATGACACTAAATGATTGCAATCCCAACAGTAAAAAGTCTTTTTATTAAAAAATAAAGACTTTTAGATTAGAACAAAACTTTTTAAAATAAAAAATAATTAAGATGGTTCAAATTTAAAAAAAAAAAAAAACATCAAAATCTGTTTCAGGTTTCTTCCTTCATTACTGTTCAAGTCTAATAAGCTATTGAAAATTAACCCCAAAACTATTGCTATTGCTTTGCCTAAAGAAAATAAAGCACCTACATTTTCACATCTTCTTTCGCATTCATATATCATTCACTCCTTTTCAACTGTAAAATGATTGATTCGAATTTTGATTCTATAAAATAGTTCAATTTATAGTAAATTTATAATTTGATTTAAAGTCTTTTATGGAGAAAAAAAAAATTAAGATTTGCCTTCAGCTAAGAATTTTGAGATTGAACTTAGTAATTGATATTAGTAATTCGAATTCGGCCCTGTTCGTGAATAATTAAAAATACTAACTCATACCTGATTGCTTCCAGGCAGCAATAAGTTTTCTTGCTTGAATTGGCCGAAGAACTGGTGTTAAGTCTGCTTCTGCCACATATTTTAATTCTTCTTCCACTGTTACGCCGATATCAACAAGCAATTTTATTAGGGTATCCAGAACACTGCATTCCATGCAGGGCAATATCTTTTTAATTTTATCACGTATTATTTCCATGCTAAAAATCACAGATAATTCTTTTTAGAACAATTACTTATTTTAAAACAAATCATAAAATGAGAAACATTTAAATCTTGCCATAAAACATTTGCCTAGCAATGGGCCATTCCATTGAGACGGGTGTGACATTCAGACAGTTTTTTGACATTAAATCTGCATTTCAGGAAAATAAATACCAACAAAGTTTTTAATTATGTTTAACGTTACATTTGCTTGAATAATTGAGTTCAAATAAAACTGCAAGAATTTTAAATTTTCTTTAAAAAAAAGTTTAAATCTTGTGACGGGTGTGACTCTTTTGGGACATGAGTTTTCATTTACTTCTACATTTGTGAATATTGAAATGTTTCATCGTTACACCAATTTTTTTCTCAGATATTCAGATGGAACTTAATACATGTTTTTTTATGAGTAGTTTCAATATTTTGAACTTGCAGGAATTTTTTTTCCTAATGTGACGGGTGTGACATCGTGCAAATATACAATTTTCAGAGGCAATTTTTTGAAGAAAATAATTACCAGTACAACTAGTAAACTTGACAATAGTCTCACTATAAACACTGCTTGCAGGAGGAGATTGATATTTATAGACTAATTTTGATAATATGGGAAAATTATTTTGATTTTTTCCCCACCAGTTGAGTGGTGATTCTTTCCTTTCAATAACTGGTAATGAAATATATTTATTCAACTCCTGCACTGAAGTTAACTCATTTTTGTCAGTATCAGTAATTTTATTATTTATATTACTGTTGTTAGTTATTTCTGTGAAAACATCCCAAACAGAAATAGATACACATTCCTCACCTTCAGTTGACTTGTGACAATTTTCAGAACTAGAATATTTTGCGATTGACTTACTATTGTTCACATTTTCTGACGATTTAAAAATTTCAGATGCTTTTTCCTTCATCAATGAAAGTAATAAAGATTTCACAACTTCATCATAACTCTGATCTTTATCAAAAAACAGTGTTTTATATTGTGGGTCCAAAATCGTTGCCAGTGAATAATGTTTCTTCAACTGTATTGTCGAAAAACGTCTATGTATATTTTTTTCTAATTCAACACTTCAACAGATTTTAACAAATATTGTTATAAAGTTACAACCATAGGAATAACTTCAGAAATTAATGATTTTGAACTACTTATCTGTTTAGTTATTTCTTCAAATGGTTGAAGCAATTTTATACAATTTTCAATTAAAGTCCACTGATATGATGAAAAGTTTTGAATTTCATTGTTTCCATTCGCATAGATGGATATAGCATTTTGTAATTCTTGTAAGCGGTTCAACATGTAAAATGTACTGTTCCATCTTGTTGAAACATCCTGCACTAATTTTTTGCATTGTATATGTAACTGTTTTTCTTGTATTTCTTTAAATTTTGAACAAGCTAAAGAAGAATGGTTGAAATGGCCAACAATTTTTCTTCCTAGAGCAATGATATCCTTTAATGGTCTTTGGGAATTTAATGCATCACTTACAATTAAATGCAAATTATGTAAAAAACAAGATTCACTTTCTAAATTGAGATCATTTACGGCTTTTACAATATTTGAACCACCATCATGAATGAGCAGATATATTTTACTTGTCACATTACATTCCTCGCTCAAGCTGCTTAACATCTTGCCTACATTTTCTCCAGTATGACTTCCGGGAAAGTGTCTTGAGTTTAATACAAAATGTTTGTAATTAAAATCATTATCTATCCAGTGGGCAGTAAAGCTAATAAAACTGTCTTTATTTACTGAATTAGACCATATATCAGTAGTTAAAGATATATATGTAGCTGAAGAAAGTAATGATCAATTTCTTCTTTTCTTTTTGAATGCATTTTTGGTAAAATTACTGTTAGCGAGAGCTTATTTTGAGCAATGATACGTAGGAAACAGATATCAACTAAAAATATTTATTTGATGTAAATAAGAATAAAATGGAAATTACGAATGAATGACACGAGCGTCTGAACGACGCGGTGTTTGTAAACAGACTGATCAGATGAGTCTCAGCGGTGGCGTTGCCAGATTCAGTGTCTGAAAGTTACAGAAGGGTTGAGTGATATTCTCACAATTAATTGTTTGAAATATTCCCTTGATGGACTATTTATCATTACTTTTTATTTAAACTCTCAACTGTCTTACTATAATTAGCAACAGTTGTACCTTCATAGAGGACTTTTTTGATTTGACTGACCCGAACTTACGCAGCATGCAGATAAAAATACTAATAACATAAATAATAACTAAATAAATAAGAATCTATGAACTTTCAATAGCATGATGTAAACATATATAACGTGAGCCACCAATTTCATATGCCTGTAATGGATAATAATCAATCAAGTCAGTTTTACTAATAAGAAAAAACTCTTTGTTTTTGGAACTTATTTCGTAAACACCTAACTGACTGATAAATGTTGTTTCAAAATTCTGCACAACAAAGAATACTTCGTTATTATTTTTAATCAAGATCATCAAAATTTCACAAAAAGAAATCTCACAATCTTCAGATATTGGTAAAAAACTACCCTTTTTGTAATCTGTGCCCTTAATGCTTAAGTCATAGGTAATAACAGTATTTGTTTTATCGAATAAGTTGGAGGGAATAATCTTTCTTAAATTTTCTGAATACAATTCTACATGAAATTCATTGTAATTTTTTATATCTAAATCTGTAAAGACTGAATTATCTGTGTGGATGTATGTTTGCAATAATTGATGCCTATTTGCCAGAGTTGAGCAGATATTTTTGAAATTTCTGGACTGTCTAGCACATCTTTTAAAATAGCTATGTTTGCTTTCAAAGCGAAGAGTCCATGATCTTATTAAAGGACCAAATTTTACAATAAGAGTTGGATAATGGGCCAAATAATGATGTTTGGGTCTAAGAGGAACAGAGGGAAAAAGTTGAGCTCTTGTAAATAAATACTCTTCAATAGCTGATTGTAAATAAACAATTTGACCTTTGTTAATTTGTGGTGCACAAACTATTTCCGTGATTGAACGTAAAAGAAGACATAATTGCCATACTTTATCATCATAATTATTCATGTATGGACCAAATAAAATTGGAAACAATCTTAAGAGGCACCAATTTTGAGCTGCATGGCCAGTTATTCTATTTTTCTTAGCATTTACTTCATTTGGTTTATTTCTCGAGTCATTTCCCAAGTAAGAAAATTGGGAAATTGCGAAATTTAACTTTTCATAGGAGAAAATTTTTTTTTCTTTAATAAAATATTTCAGAAATAATGCCAGATCATGTGAAATTATTCCTTCAAAAAGGTCATGTCCAAGACAAGGTGGCAATCCAGGCAGACAAACATGAAAATAAGCCAACTCGTTGAATAATGAAGGAAACTTTATTCCTTGAAAAGACCCGTTATTTAAAATTTCCGCACAATTCAGATCATACATTTCCTTCGTTCTTATTTCACCAACAGAATGTGGCTTGTTGATAAATTCATGTTTCCTTATTATACAGTAACGACATAAATAATCAGCATTAAAACATTCCACAAATCCACCAATACAATGTGAGCCTAAATTATCGCCAACAACGCAACAAACAGTACCTTTAACAGTTTTGCCATTAACAACTATCCCTTGAGTTTCAAGAGTTTTCAGATCATTAATTAAAGGTGAAAATATTTTGGCTTGTCCAAAGTATGTAAAATCTGAATTTTTACATAAAAGAAGCAGTTGAATGTTTTCACTATTGCATCTGTAAAAAGGCGGTAAATTTGCTAGTGAAAAATAAACAGCAATCAATTTGTGAATTTTTTTTGCTGATCCAAGAGGATTTACTATTTCAAATGCATCTTGATACAGTATTACTGGCAAAGAATCTGGATATTGGCTAAGCAACTCGTTATTCTTGAAAACTTCTCCATCCCAAATGTCACGTAATGTGCCATCATTTATTTTTGAATGCACATAATCATTACTCAAACTTGTAACTGTTTTATTAGTCATCAGATTTTGTAATGTTGCCAATAGTGGTATATATTGACAAAATGAGGGTTGTTTTTTGGCATTTCTTCCTAGGTATATGTCAACAGGCTCAACGTAACTGTTAAAATTTTGCTTGTAAAAGCATTTTCTTTTGTAATCAGTTTTAAAAAATTCTGAATTATACTTACTAAATAAATCATTAGTTTTAATCTCTGATATAATTTTCCCAGAATCTTCAGCAGAAACTAAAAATTTTGAAAGTTTTACTTTAACCTTTTCACAGATGATTTCACTGTTTACAGTGCTCAAATTTAGTAACTCATTACATATAGTTTGAATAGTACTGGAAGGTAAAAGGTTCTTTGCTTCTAGTTTTAGATAAAATAAACCTAAGTTAGTTAGATAATTCTGGTTTAATGTGGGATCATTCAAAATGCTTTCAGATGAGAACGTTTCTTTTTCTACGCTAGGAAATGGTACCAGGGAATTGATGTTAGGCTCTTCTTGAATGTGTAGTTCATTTGATGAATAAATGGGTTTTAAATTGTTTGATTCATTAACACTTATTAAATCATGATGGCAGCGACTAATATGGCTGCTAAAAGACGATTTTTTATCATAGCTATGACTACAATTATAAAAAGGACATTGCATTTTGATTCCATTATCAATATGAAATTTGATATGTGAAATTAATTGTGGCAAACTAGTTATGACACTTGTGTCACATTCACTGCAATTGAAAATTGCGCTTTCAAGTTTAGGCGTGTTTTTAGTTAATTTATGATCACGAAAAACATGATATTTGAATGAATTGTAGTTTTTGAAGCGGAGATTACAAGATTGGGCACCACAAGGGAATGTTATACCGTGAACATTTCGATGTAGTCTCCAGTGGGCAACATATGGCTTTATAAGCCTTGTTTCAAAATTACAAAGTTCACATTTGAACAAATACATTATGGCAAGAATTTAAATTCTTAAAATAATGCATGAAATAGAACAGCGTACCTTATAATCGAAGTTAAATCCCTTGGTTGAATCACAAATAAGAAGCAATCGCTATATTCGCAGTTGGCGGGCTTGCAATCAACTTTGGTCACCAGAATCAACAATACGCTAAACTGTTGCCATTAACCGCTTAACTTACAAAAAAATTATATCTAAAAAAAGATAATAATCAGGTTATTGCATTCTCACTGCTTACGATTTACGCACGTCAGATGGCCGTTGAGGGATAAGAATCTGAAAAAAAAATTATTTTTCTCTAACACATTTTCTTTTCTCTCGATGGCGATCATAGCTGCGTGATTTGCATGAATATGAATGGTCCCGTAGAGTATCATTAGAAGTCAAGGTAGAATTTTATTTATATTGTTAGTTCAGTAGTTATTCTATCCCGCTAAGGGCGTGGATGTCTGTTTTTTCTCTGTTATGCCTTAAGTGAATACATACCACTCTGACTTGGGGCGAGGATTATATTGCTCACCTCAGTCACTGAGGTTCACAGAGGTACCTGAAGGGTAACGTTAAATGAGCAATAATACCGTTCAGCGAAGAACGTGAATAGTTCAGTGAAAGACATAAGAGAATAATTAATAAATTAAGTAATTAGGTAATTAGTAATACCTAATTACTTAATGTATTAATTATTAAGTAATTAGGACAAAAAAAGGGATGTTACATTTTAAAAAGTAATACCCAAGGTAATTTCTGACAGAATGCTGTGTTATCTCAGTATAAGATGAAGTTATAAACATAGCCTATTGTCTTCTGTAAGCTTCCTCCCTGTAGAAAATCGGAATAATTCGAGGCAAATAATTTCTTCCCCTCTAGATAAATAAGTGAAGCCCTGTTTTCGACGTAGTTTTTTAAGCTAGATTGAATGAAAAGAAAATCATAATAACAGTTAGGAAGTTATAAGTTTTATGAATTAAAAGTACAATTTTGTTTTAACACATATCTAACGCGTCTGAAATTGTAAATGGATGTAAGTACCAAGTTGAATTTTTTGTAAGCGATATACTCAAATATTTTCCTAACTCTTTTCGTCCGCTGTTTTATTTTATCTCATTAATTCAGCATAAAAAATCACCTCAAGAAACCAAAGAAATATCTATTTTCAGACAGCTCTAAGATAGCATTGGAAAAGCTGAACATTTGTACATACCAAAAAAAAGTACTTTTCATACATAAAAGCTCTTATAATTTTGAATTATTTATTCTATTGACACACACATATCATACATTACATGAGGAACAATATTTTACTTGGTAAGACAACGATGTCAGATACGTAAAGAGGTATAAGTACAAAATCGTACTTTTTGTACACTAAATTATTATAATTTTTAAAATATTTGTTGATCCTCTCGGTATTAGTTTAATTCAATTCATCCTTTAAAAATTCCCCAAAAATAATATCTTATTTGCATATCCAGAAAAAAATTCAACCCCTCCTCCTTAAATTACCTTCACTTTCTTCTTCTTCTTCTTCTAAAAATAATAATAAATAAATAAAAAGTAAAGCCAAATAGGGAGAGAAAATGTGAGGGGTGGCTAGGAAAAAAGTAGATTAGCTTCCAAGCTACATTTATTAGGGCATAACAAAGCTCTTGTAAGGCAAGTGGATATCGACAAAGTCAAAAAAATTTATATATATAATTTTACTAGACCAGATGTTCAAAACCTTTAAATAATTTCTGAAAATTAAGAACTAGTATAGAAATAATCCTAAAATAATTTGATAAAAGACCAAGTCATACTAAGGAACGAAAAAAAGGATAGCAAAAGCTGGAATTCCAATTGACGGTTTTTATCCGTTTGCGATTAGGGTGAAGAACGGAGAAAAACCGTTATTTATACAGAACGGATTTAAACCGTTACAAATACGGAGAAATTCCGTAAAAACAACGGGTATTTTTAACAGTGTAGAGTTTCCTGGAATACCATTTAGAAACCTCTGGGATACATAACGAAGGGGTAGAAATTAGGAACATTTAGGTTTCTGCTCCGCGGACCATTGACTATATGATATTGCTAGTCAGTACACATTTTCACTGGTCTATTTGCATGTCCCTGTTTAATTTGTTGTTTAAAAAATTAATAAAGTGATTTTTTAATGAAAGTTATGATCATTTCTGAGAAAAACTCATGTTTGAATTCCGGATCTGGTAGCTTTGTGATAGTTTCCTGTCCGGGATTTCATTTATTTACTATCATGTAACGAAAATGTAGGCATTCAAAAGTATTCCTATTTAAATTTAAGGTAGATATATTTTTGACTATTTTATGAACTTTTTGACGCAGATGGGACAGCGGTGTACTTTTTATGTATTTTTTTCTGATGCTCTAATAAGAAGCAAAAATATATTATGGTATTTTTTAATTATATGAGACAATCAAAAAGTTACTAAAAAATCTGTTAGATTATCGGAATTATATTTGTACTAAATAAAAAAAAAAAAGAGTAGTCTGATTTTTTTTTTTTTTTCATTTATGTTCAAAACAATTGTAATAATTGATTGTGTAAATTTAAGAAATTCCGATGCTGAATAACTATTTCTCTTAGATCTAAATAAGTGCATATTTGAAAAATTATTGTTTAGAGGTGAGTCCTGTTAGGACGCAGGAGAAAGACACCGGTGTTTCCGTTTTGTATTTCATAATTATTAATATGCTAAACTTAATATTTTTCAATTATTTAGACCTAAATTAATTTAAAATGATGAAATAAGTATGGAAAATGTTTTAATAAAAATTCGGAACCAAAGGCAGGTTTAAAAAAAAAAAAAAAAAAAAAAGGGAAATTTTTTTATTTTTTTAACGAAGAATTAACAAACATATGCGGAGTAAAGTTGCTAAAAAGTTTTCTTACTGAAAAGAGTAAACAGAAAACATAGCAACTGCAATAAAATAAAAATAATAAGGGAAACAAAGGGAATTCGCGTGCTTTTCTAAAATTTGTTGCCAACTTCCGCATTTGGTCCTGAACTCTGGGTCGGCGCTCTTTGTGTGATTCAAATTTGGAGATGCGAATTTGAAGCCTGAATATGATTAAGTTAGGAAGCTGCGTTATCTTTCTAAGCTCACCCTTTTTTTTTTCTCCCTCCGCCAGACAGACATATTCTCGATTTTCTGTTATTCCCTTGTGAAATTATACGTTTCATGCGTTTGTCTTTTCATAAGCGGCTTGCTGAAATCATTAGACCATGGAATGGATTTCTCTGATTTTCGAAATTAGTGCGTTTTAAAAAACGCAATTAAAAACAAAAATTTAAATTCTCAACTAGATTAAAATAATTTATAGTAGGTAATGGTTTACTGCTTAGAGAAGTAGGGGAAAACTTAATATTTTTTAATCTTTAAGTTGCTTTATTTGGTAGTACTATAGTCGCTTTTGGCGACCAGTTTGGTCACCTTTCAAAATTATCTTGTAACCAAGCTGAATGCACAGCATAATTGTATTTCAATATTCTAATTCATCAACCCCTCCTCAATCTTTACACCTTACTTAGCTTTTAACAATATATTAACCAAATTTTTTAATTTCAATTTTAACTATTTTCAAGAGATTTCCGCGATATTATCATATCTCTTTTTGTATTTAATGTATAGTAATATTTTGAATTCAATCCAACAGCTGTTAAATCACACAAACCACTGTAAGTAAAGAGTTCGGGACATTTTAGCATAGTAGGCAGCAGAAGTATTAAAATTATTTGCATCTTGTCATGAGATAAGATATAAAACTCATACCAATGCTCCATAGCGTGTACTACTTCCTCACTCACCACTCTTTCCATAACTTGAGTATCATATGTAATATAGAATCTCGCTTACGATTTTTTCTATATTAATTTATCGATAAAAATAGATTCTCTGATTAATTTTAAGACGTAGAAATCGTTCTTTCACAAAGAGCCATAAAAAGTCAAGATTCCAATGAAATTTTTTTTTTCTTCTCTGAAGTTGATGGGTAATACTTTGAAATGCTCATTAAGGAAATCCTAAAATTTCCCTATAGTTTGCATAGCATCATCTGTTAAAACGAATCAAGATGGTTAAATTTTCCTTTTTGGAGGACGTTAGATTACGTCAGTGTTTCTCAAACTTATAACTTTTGTGTAACCTTTCTAAATTTTTGGTGACGCTGTGTACCAATAGTAAAAAAAAATGAATGTATTTTTTACAATGAAAAAATTGCACAAAAGTTAAAAATCACAACTGACTGTTGACACCAATAATTTATTAATTGTTAACTCAACAAAAAATAGCCAGTAAAAAAATACGTAATCGTACATTTTCATGGCTTGTTTTTTTTTTTTTTTTTTTGAAATAAAATTTTTTGAAATTTTTGTTTGTTGCAAGATATTTCGCATAAGAACGCGTGCCCCCGCTAAACTGTTCCAGTACTCCTGGGGGTATGCGTGCCACACTTTGGGAAACACTGGATTACGTTAAAGATTTTTTTGAAGCCAATTTCCTATCAAAATTCCTGAATAAGAAACTGGACAGTCCGATTTAGCTTGGGTTTTTCATGATGTAATTGCTAGTAACACTACGGCCCGAATGACCAAACCCCAAGACCTTGATTGGGGAAACCTTTTCCTTAAAGAATTTATCATAAGATGCTCGTACTTTGTACTTCGTCTATGGAAATTACTTGTTTTTTCTTCAAGGAGGATCACAAGATATATGCTATTGCTCGAAATAAAAAGTTCCGTGTCCGATCATTGGTATGGCAGTATGCGGCACCATAGCACCGTTTATGTTTAAAATTTCTGCAGCCATTTTAAATATGATCAAATATAAATCTAAATTACTTCGTAGCTGCGTTTTTATTTCTATAAAAATACATAATTATCCTGAATAAATACTTATAGTAAAAATAATTTAGACAACCTTACAAAATGAATAATCTCTTTAGTGTTACCATGCATAGAGAAATACCCGAATTTATG